CAGCACTGGGACACGTATTAGACATTTCATCATTAGCACCTCAACTGCTAAGGGGCTCAACGCCATTTAATACACTCCTGACAGCTAGGTAGACATAGGGGACGTCCGAGGCAAGGCAGGTCACCGCTCGCCGCAAGGCACAGACGACGACTGCCCGCTGGCACTGACCGTAGAGGGCGGAGCCAATGACGCAATGGGCGCATTGCGCGGCGCATTGCGCATTGGCATCCGAGCATGAATGGGCCGGGGCGCGCGGTGCGCCCACGGGCCACCGTCGCATCCGCGACACTCCCGAGACAGCGAAAAGTGCCTCGGCGGACGCGAGAGGCCACGATGCCCCTGCTGGGTAGATAATACACCGGGCGCCCTGAATTAAGGCCACTTAGACTGAGACCCCTAAGGCAACTGGCTTGGCACGACACCATTACACATTTTCCTACCTACAGGTGACCCACTAAACTACAAGTCAATGGCTCATACGTAATATGGTGCTCCGAGGAGCAACCCAAGCATCGCCAATATGATAAATCTTCGACAAAAACCAGAGGCGCCTTAAGGGCAACCAGAAAGAGAACAAGGGGACACCTTAAGGGTGACCCAAAGACAATGGGAAATAAAATACAACGATGCTTAAAAACGTACTAGCTTAAAACCCCCACAGCGAAATACACACAACACCTAAGGTGCCTTAAGGGCAACTCACAAAAAAGGCTAAGGGAGCGTCTTAAGGACAACTCCAAAAAACACTTTATCACACGAAGCGCCTTAAGGGCCACTTCAAAGAAAAAGACTGAACTGCCAGAACGGTGTCGTTGTAGCTCGCCGCAACTTTCTTCTCCAACTCCGATCCATCACCAACTCCTTCACCAATCAATCTCGACCAACGTGGGCTGGACTGCTCGATGTTGTTGTTGTCCTCGCACACGTCGTCATCATCGAACTCGTTTCATCGCCGGATTCGATCCTCGAACCACTCGCATCTCGACCGCCCTTGACTGACATCCTCGAACCAACCATCTCGCTTGCCCATAACCAACTCGATCTCGTCCGGCTTTTGCACTTTCGCTCGCTGGATGGATCGACTCGAACCTAAACGAAGTAAAGGGGGGTGCACACCCAAAGGTGTGCTTTAGCAACGTAATAAACCACAGACATCTACACTGAGTCAAATAAGCTTTGACAAACTTACCTGAAGTGAGCTGCCTGTGGACGGAATAGAACACAGCTAAGAACGCGCTAACCTGAAACACACATTAACCAACTTACCTATAGCGAACTTACCTGTGTACGTAATAGACCAGGGTCAAACCGCACTGGTCACGTAATAGCGGGGAAAGCCACTTCCCGCACGTAGTATGAGGTGCACTCACCTCAGCGCCTTTCCCTCGCGGTCGAGGGTTCTCTCGAAGGCCTTCTGGAAGGCCTCGCCCGCGGCAATTCATGCGGCTGGCGCTGACTGCGGTGTGGTGGAACCTCTCGATATGATGCATCCGCGACACTTCGATAGAATCGCTGTGCCATCATATCGATGTCGTTAACGATAAAGATGTTTCTTACACAGATTGCTTGATGGTGATCCAGCTCTCCGCATAGTCCACATCCATCGGCACGGATGCACTGTCCATAGTGTCTATGCAGACACACGGTGCAGTATCCGGCTCTTACGAGGAGGTTTGCCCTCACGCTAAGGTGCCTATACCTGTCACATTCGGCCGAAAAGTGATCCGTGGATGAACAGAAGACACAGGGTGGCTGCCCTGGTGGTGGAATTGTTTGCCTTGGCAGTGGTGGCAGTCCTCGCCTTCTGTTCTCCTGTGCAGGTGGCTCCTCGTACGTAATACTGGAGCTCGACTGCGAGGAATACTCGCGTCGGGCTCTCACATCGACTTCTTCACGCGAGTCTTGGCTTACCGCTCGCTTCCTCTTCCTGCCGCGACGTCCGCGGCGGGACCTGGATCTGGACCCTGGGGGTCCAGCCTCCCCACTTTGGCGAAAACTCGGCCCAGGGCGAGGTGGCGGCGCAGCCGAAGGTTCACGTGGAACGGGTGGGAGCGGCGTCCGTGGACGCTGGTCCTGACGAAGTACTGGTGACTCTTTTGGCGCAACCCATCCCGATTTGAATTTTGGTTTCTCGGGGGGTTGACCAGCTGACGTAGTAGGTGCAGGGGCTCGAGACGTAGATGCTGACGGACCTGGACCGTCCAGTATACGTCGAGTCTCTGCAAGCACTCTTTGACGAAATAGGGCGTTAGACTGACTATGAAACTGCTCAGTATAGTGCTCCCTCCACCACTGGAGATATGTCGCAACGCTTTGTTCCGAAAATTCTCCAGGTGGATTCGTTTGATAATCCGCTACGAGATGACGCGATCCCTCGTCACCCACCGACGCTAGCTGGGCTAGCTGAAGGGCTTCGAGAGACCGTATCGTCCTCGTGAGATGCGCGGAAACGGCACTAGCTCTCTGAAGCAGTACATGTAACGTATTAGCAGTGATATTTTGACGCCATAACGCATTATGAAACG